GGCGGAACGGACCGGGGGTGGGGGGCTGTTTGAGGTAGGCAGGGGTGTGGGAGGGGAGCGCCAGCCCAGCCAGAGTGCGATAGAGCAGGACAGACATTGTATCGAGGTGCCGCTCGCGCCAATTCGTGTATTCTGTGGGGAGAAAGGGGCGAAGACGCCGCGGGGGAGGGGGGGGGGGGCTCGCGTAATCCCCCGGCGGGCTGAAAGGGGGTCCACTTGAAGGCGGCTCGGCTCGCGAGCGCGCCCCGCCTTGCATGGGTTATGAGGCCGAGTACCGCCGAATTGGGATTAGGCTAAGCTGATTTGGATCAGAAACACGCGCACAGCGCTGCGGAGCGTGGCGGAGCGTGGCGCCACGGTGTAGCGGCGCCGCGGAGTGCGAGAATTAATTCAAGCTCCTCTGCGCTGCGGGCGGCGCGGGGCGGCGTCCCGTGGCGTCCCCCGGAGGAGGGCGTCTTGTGGGGACAGCAGCACTCGCAAGCAGGGCGCGCTGACCTGCACGGCCGGGGTCTCGGCGTCGGGGGAGAGGGGGGGCACAGCTCGGCCAGTAAGTTACACCCTCTCGATGGGCCAGGATGCACGCGCGGCGATATTTTGCTGCAGGAATGAGGAGGAACTAGAAATTCCCCATTTTTTTTTGGGGGGGGGGAGGGCACGTCACAAAAGGCTGCTGAAGGCGGTGCGGGGGTTCACTAGTGGCAAGCTTGTGAAAAGGTGCTTTTCCGTTTTAGACTTCTCTCTCTCTCTCTCTCTCTCTCTCTCTCTCTCTCTCTCTCTCTCTCTCTCCTCATTCGCTGCGCTGATTGCTTTGTTACGCACGTGACTCCAAACGTTTCGTCCCCCCCCCCCCCCCAGCCTTACAGCAGGCCTCCGCTCTCCTTTCCACCTCCTCAAACAGCTCACGCACGCACACGCACACACACACACACAGCCAAATGCACACAATACAAGCCACCGTTTTGCTCTCTTTCGCGGCCCAGGTCGGGCGGGCCGGGCCCAGCAGCAGTATAACGCCCCCTTTGCCAGCTATTCACGTTTTTCCGCGAAAGGGTTTCCGCCACCGCCGGTTTCCCGCTAGAGCTCTTCGCTAAAAATTAAATTCAAAAACTTTTCCCTCATTTTTTTTTGTTAAAAAATCGTTTGTGTTTTGATATGAAATAAAAAAAAAAAGAAAAACAGACACACGTGCACATGTTGATATTTCCTCAGTTCACTCACACGTCGGACCGCTGTGGATGCTCGTATTTCTCTGTACGTCAACCGCGTTTACACTCCGCCATGGCAACGCCACCACAAACACACA